ATCAGAAGAAGATTAAGAATGGGAAGGTGGCTATGAAAGAACTAGAAACAATTCTAAAATGCAAAGATAAACAACTGAGCCCAAAAGTCAGAATCATACAAGCCATTGTATTCCCTATTACTATGTATGGATGTGAGACTGGACAGTTAAGAAAGATGATAGAAAGAAAATCAATACATTTGAGGTGGTGCTGGAGAAGAGTGCTGAGGATCCCATGGACACCCAAAAGGACAAGCAAATGGGTCCCAAAACTGGAAACCTCCTTGGAAGCCAAAATGACCAAACTGAGACTTTGGACACATCATGAGAAGAAAGGACTCTATGGAAAAAAGAGTAATGCTGGGGAAGGTGGAGGGAAGTAGGAAGAGAGGAAGGCCACATGTTAGATGGATGGATTCTATAAAGGAGGGCATGGGTATTAAGGGGTTGCAAGAATTTAGCAGAGCAGTGGAGGACAAATGGTCTTGGAGATGTTCATCCATAGGGCTTCCATGAGTCAAGATCGACTCAAGGGCAGTTAACAACAATAATATTGCTCATAGAGTAGATGTGGGGACACAGCTGGCAACTGAGTTTGTTGCAAAGTCTCATCCTTTTATTGCTATCCATGCATCTATGGCAGGAACAGGCAACCTTTTTGAGACCTGGGCCGGGCCCCCGTAGCCCAGGTCTCGGCTGTGTACGCACGCACGCATGTGCACGCACCCTTCTCTGCCTCACGCGCCCCCACGTGCACGCAGCTGCTGCAGCCACCATCGTAGCACCCGCGCCCGCAGCTGCCACGCCGCATGTCGCGGCTGCCATTTTGGAAGTCCAAATTGCAACCGCGGCACGTTTGCACATGCGCAAGAGTACTGTGCATGCGCAAACATGTCATGACCACCATTTTGACTTCCAAAATGGTGATCGCAGTGAACGCGGCCGAAAACGTGCCCCGATGGTGGCACGCGGCGGCAGCGACAACCTTCAGCCTGGACTGGTAAGTCTGGGGCCTGGGGCCTTAACCGGCCCCCTGGGCCATAGATTGCCGGTCCCTGATCTATGGGATGCAGTGGCTCAAGTGGTTAAGACGCCTACTCTGTTGATTGAAAGATCTGCAGGTTGGCAGTTTGAGGCCCGGGTGCTGCATGATGAGGTGAGCTCCTGTCACTAGTCCCAGCTTCTGCCAACCTAGCAAAGCATGCAAATGCAAGTAGATAGATAGGTACCACTTTGGAGGGAGGGTAAACAGTGTTCTGTGCAATTATGCTGGCTCCATGATCACAGAGTAGTCTCTGACAAAGCTGGCTCTTCAGCTTAGTAATGGAGATGAGCACTGCCCCCTACAATCGGTCACGACTTGACAACCTTGTCAATGGAGAATACCTTTACCTTTATATTACGTATTCTATTGTTAGTGAATAGTTATTTAAGATTTAGAATCTGTCTGTAATCCAATAAAGTCCTGCCTCCCAGAGCATATGAGAGGGCTGTATTATTCTTGATAATTGTTGTAGTTTGTTGATGAAGCGATTAAGTGGTCTCAACTGGGGACTGCAGATGGCAGCTATGAATGTTTTGTCATTTTGTGCTTTCAGTTTGTCATGTAGTAGATGCCAGTGTTGTGTAGTGGTTTGAGCATTGGACTACAACTCTGGAGATCAGGGTTTGATTCCCCTCTTGAGCATAAAACCCTCACTGGGTGACCTTGGGCAAGGCACACTCTCTCAGCCTCAAAGGATGGCAATGGCAAATGCCCTCTGAAGAAACTTGCCAAGAAAATCCTATGATAAGTTCGCCTTAGGGTTGGAAGCGACTGCTAGGCACACAACAAAAACAGCAACAAACTAATCTTGTCTTCTTTGTCTCTTCACCTCCTTCAATGGATATTCTAGCTTGAAAAACGCCTGTTGTAAACTCCAGGAGTTTTGAGTCTGTCTTTTCTGTTCTGACTGAGAAGATGCAGTTGTATGGGAGAATGTGGCTGTAAACAACAGATTTCATAGTGTGTTCTGGGGCAAACTGGAGTCATGTAAGTATGTATAATAATCAGTGAGTTTAGCTAACTTTAATACGTAGCTGATACACAATTCTGGACATTAAATCTGAGTGGAAAAGGAATTTAAGGGTCAGTTTAACACTACAAGCCTAGTTTTTGCCCCGAGATCAGCTTCAGACACACTTGTAACCTCAATGGGTAGGTTTTGAAGGCTGTCAGCAAAACCAAAACATGGGTAGGAGTGTGTCTGTGTATACTCATGAACACTCTTTACCTGTTTCACAGGTAAAATGTAGACAGCTCTCTGGAACCACACAGTGGCCAAGAGAAGTAATATAAAACTGAGCAACTGAGGGCAACAGTGCATATAGACTGACTTGCTTCTATTTACAATGGTAGCATCTCTCTTTGCTTAGGTGAGATTACCTGTTTTCAGAGAGCCAAAGCTTAAGTGACTCTCTTAAGAGCTGTTTCATATTTCTTGCATGGCAACCACTCTGAATTAGGACATTTTGGTGTGTGTGCCCTACTATTTGAATCTTCAGCTGATGCTGACAGGCTTTCTACTGGCTGTTCCTTAGGAAATATCACAGTTCTGTTTGGTGTTAGCATGCTGTAGTGCAGGCATGTGGCATTGCACAGGGTGTGAGGGCCAATCATTTTTTAAAAAATGGGGAAAAATGGTGTCAAGAAACCCTGTTAAGAAGAATCATGGCCTGATGAAAATCTTTGCACTTTGGGACTTATTCTGCACAAAATTCAAAGTTGTTTTGCACAGGAAACAGTTTTTATGTACAGAACATTTATTGTTGTTGTGTGCCTTCAAGTCATTTCTGACGTATGGTGACTCTGTCACAGGTTTTTCTTGGCAATATCTGTTCACAAAGGGTTTTGCCTGTACCCTTCTCTGAAGCTGAGAGCATGTGACTTGCCCAAGATCACCCAGTGGGTTTCCACAACCAAGTGGGGATTCGAACCCTGCTCTCCAGAGTCCTAGTCTGACACTCAAAACACTATACCACAGCTGGCTCCTTTTGAGCATATACACAGAATATTTATGCACACATATATTACAGTTTGTGCAGTCAGTCAGTAGCTGCTGTGAGCAATGGAGGTCTTTTTCCCCGTCATTTGAGGTGCAGCATACTGATGTTTCCACTCCCTATTTCCAGTGATTTCAGGTGGGACAATCAGAACCAGGACCCTGTCACAAATCTTCCTTGCACCAGAGATTGCTGGCAGGAGGGAAAGTGGAAACATTAGTATACTGCACCCTAGCTGAAAGGAGAACAGGCCTCCATTGCTTGTAGAAGCTATTGTCCAATAAACAGAATTGGGGGACTTTTATGATTGTGGCAATAGCGCCATGATTCTAAATACATAGGGACCATGAATAGGAATCAGTTACATAGGCATAACTATAGGTTACACATCCATAACTGAATTCCAGACATTGTATTTCACACGTATGCTTCTTGATCTCTTTGAAGGGGAAGGGTGAGATACAATTATTTTAAATGGATAATTAAAAAAAACCCCAAATTTTCCATCATCTATTGATATGTTAAAAGAAATAAAATCTTGCAGAATAAGTACATGCACATGTTTACATAGCAGATGAGATCTTGGCCACTTCACTTCTATGTGCCTGGTCCTTTGAGTCTTTCACAATGACTTCCAATGGGTGCAAATTTAAATAAAAAACACCATCTGATAGAAATCCAGCATTTTTGGACTGAGTTCGATTAGCATTTTGGACTGAGTTCCAGTCTGAGGACTTAATCAAGAGGAACTCCTGCCTGTTCTTGAACAATAGCACACTTCCTGGTTGGAAATAGGGTTTCAGTGGCTTTTCTTTGTTTACTTCGGGCTGACTGGCCCCATGAAAAATGCTGGAAGTGGTGGGTAATTGTTAAAACACACACTTGTTTCCATCACAAGTTCCAGATTCTAAATTACGAATAATGCACACAGTGGCTTAAAAGGAGAAATCAAGCTCAAGAAATCAGAAGGTTAGGACTTAGAAGGGCAGCTATGAAGGAACTAGACAAAATCTTGATGTGTAGAGATATATAATTGAATACTAAAGTCATGACTGCCCATGACTTTGTATCTCCAACTTCTATGTATGGTTGTGAAAGCTGAACAGTGAAGAAAGTTGATAGGAAGATAATCCACTCATTTGAGATGAGACGCTGAAGGACAGTTCTGAGAGTACTCTGGACTGCCAAAAAGACAACTAAATGAGTCTATTGCAAATTAGTCCTGAGTGTTCCTCAGAAATCAAGCTAAGTAAACTGAGATTGTCATGCTTTGACATATCATGAGAAGATATGAGTTATTTAAGAAGACAATAGTCTGGCAAGCAGTAGGAAAAAAGGACAAGAGCAATGCAGATGGATAGACTCAGTCAAGGAATGCCTACATTGTGCTAGTAGTATATTTTGGTTCCTTGTGAACGTTTCCTCCAAACTTTATAATGCAAAAAACCTCAGAGAAATAGGAATTCCCCCCCCCGCCATTAAGAAAGGTCATCTGGGTTAAACACTAGAAGAACCTGTGACTTTGTCATTATTCATCAAGAACAGTTTCACCCCCAGGAATGATCTTTCCACAAGGAAAAAAAAAAGCCTCCCAATGCCTAAACTCCATTGCTTGTCCCAACTAGAATAGATCCATTAAAGAAATGGAAACTTGCTAAGTCAACACTTAGTAAATTCTCTCAAGAAGTCTACTTTTATTGAGTTAGGTGGACTGAGGGCCAAGACGGCTGTATCTCTGTCATTCTAGTTCTCTGTGGACATAGTGAGCTCAAAGTTCATGGTAGCTGTCTTCATCCACCTGTGAGCTAGGTCAGGCTGAAAGAGAGGATGACTAGTCTAATGCCACAGAGCGAATTTCATGGGTCATTTGGGATGTAAAAGTTGATTTCCAGTTCTGCAGCCAGTGTGGTTTGAGCATTGGACGACTCTGGAGATCAGTTTGAATCCCTGCTTGGCTGTGGAAACCAACTAGGTGACCCTGGACTTTCAGAAAACTGTAATAGGTTTGGAAATGAGTTGATAGCACACAATAACACGACATTCTGTACCAGGAGTCGGTAGTGTGTGTGTGTGTGTGTGACATTAGTCCCCCCGAGGACCTTGAATGAGCTGCACAATCCCCCAGAATCTAGCTGGACACCACCATGATATAGATCTTTCTGGACTGTTTCAGACTGAATATGGATGCATGGCATATTTAACTACAGCCTCAATATGGTGTACAGCAAAAGGGGGGAAAATGCAGCCTCTGGGCCATCTTGCACCTAGATGTGAGGCCTAATTCACCACATTTTTGGCTTTTTTTTGGGGGGGGGGAGGTCATTTTTGGCCCAAGAGAAACTTTGATTTTTGCATCCAGAAGTGACCTGACGGTCAACTTTCAGCTCATTTCCTGTGAGAAAAAGGGCTCTCTTTGGCCTAAAATGGACCCCATATCCCTAGGAGCCATTTTGGACCAAAATGGGGGAGGACTCTGGGGGCTACAACAACCCTAGGAGCCACATTTTCCCCACCTCTACTTTACACCCAAGTGAGGTGGCACTCAAACCCATGTTCCTCCAAATTCAGCCTGAAGCAGTCCAGCCCAGAAAGGGCTGTACCATGAGGCTATTTGCTAGATTCACTTCTTTTTCCTTTTTTCACAGCTACCTGATTCTACCGCACCCCCAAGCACATTGCTTAGGCTCCATCATTTCTCATCCTTCCCACATCCTGGTTTGCTGGATAAAAGTTGCTAATTCTTTGAGCAAGGACTGGGTAATTTCTGGCTTGGGAAAAGCATCTAGCTGTAGCTGACAGGATGAGAAATAGCAGAACAAGCAAAACAACACATCGCCACTATGCTTGGGGACTGAAGTGGCCTGTACTCCCATGCAGTCTCCATGAGCTATTAACTATTCCAGTATTCCTCTTTCACCCACATTCAAAGAGAAATAACACAACTTTGTTGAGCAGTAGGATTCTGTTCCCAAGGAATGAATCCTAGTCTGTCCAGGAGCTCAGCTAGGCAACTTTTAGATGAAGTCGCCCAAATCAGTGCAGATGTCCTCAAATGCCAAGGCTCTGTAAGTAATGGATGAGAATTTCACAAGTTGGTGTAATGTAACCATGTAAGGGCAAGAGGGGCACCACTTGTACAGGGCATTCCCTTTCATGGCTCTTTTGAGATCTGAACTATTCTTGTCTGAGAACAGTGCAGGCCATTTTACTGTACACTGGAAAGATTCTTAAAAATACTTCAGAAAAAAAACCTTCCTAGATTAGCTCAGGCTAATTCTATTTTAGTCTGGTAAGAAAACAGAATTTTACAGAGCCTGAAGGAGGCAGCAATATTACAGCTGAGAAAAGTTCCTTTCAGCCTTGGAACACATTGCCATTATTCCAGTACATATGTAGATGAACATAAAGCAAGCAGTATTACATTCATTTCCAGAATAGCTAATCAGCTCATGGGAAGAGAATACAGGCTGGTGAGTATTCCTTACCCAGAACCCCAAAATATTCCAAAATTGTCCATGTGATGGCTGATATAGTGACACTTTGCTTTCTGATGGTTTAGTGTACATAATTTTCATGACACCATAATACTAGCAGAAAACCTCACAGACCTGGAATACCTTAAGGCAGATCAAAGAAGAAAGTGTAAAGGCAGGCTTAATGTTGAACATAAAGAAATCAAAAATAATGACCACTGAGGACCTTCACAGGTCCAACCTAGACAATGAAGAAATAGAAATAGTAAAAGAATTCCAATACCTGGGATCAAACATTGGTAGAAATGGGGACTGCAGTCAGGAAATCAGAAGATTAAGAATGGGGAGGGTACAAAATTATCTTCAGACCATGTTTCTAAGATATATATGAAACAAATGAATTTCATATTTAGACTTGGGTCTCATTGAAAATTATGCATATACAAATATTCCACCCCCCCCCTAAAATATTTCAGGTCCCAAGCATTTTAGTTGAGACTCAATTTGTATATAATCATAGAGGAACTGACGCACGTTTAGTGATTTCATGCAGGAGGTGGCAACTGCAGGCTTCAGTTGGCTTTAAGTTTAAATTTGGTATTAAAACAGTGTAAAACATCTGGAGGTCACCATTACCCACCTGACTGAATGGCTCACACAGCTGCTTGTATTCAATTGCTTTCTTGTTTAAATAGGTTTCATGTACACATCATGAATTTTTTTTTTTTTTTAGAATTCAGGAAGCAATCCAGAATTGGAAGGGTGAAGTGTTCATTGCTGACTTTTTTCTCCCTTGTGAAGGTACTCCATAGGAGCAACTTCCTGACAGTAATAACTTTTCAACAGTGGAGCATACTCCCTCAGACCATAGTGGAGTCTCTGTCTTTGGCGGTCTTTAAGCAGAGGCTGGATGGCCATCTGTTGGGGTGCTTCAGTTGTGAATTCCTGCATGGCAGGGGGTTGGACTGGATGGCCCTTGTGGTCTCTTCCAACTCTATGATTCTAGTCTAACACCTGCTGGTTGCTTCAACCTATGGCACTATTGTTTTCTGTCCTTGCTGCTCCTAGCATGCTAATGAATGAGGGGAGGCATAAGGACACATTGGAGGAAGCCTTCGACCTATGGGGACCCTTAAGCCCTCCTTTGCCTGTCCCAGAGAAAAAGTACACCAGCCATCCAGATGAAACAAACTGGAAAGGCTAGAGGGAGACAAATATGAAAGACAGGAGGTAAGATGAGGGAAAAGGCCACATCTTCACCCTTCATTGAGGACTTCAGGAAGTAGAGGTTACATTGTGATAAATCACTTCACCTGCACAACAGCTGCTACACTGACTTCCTAATTTTGTTTAATGAAACATTTTACATTATTTAGAACTGTTTGCAGGCAAACTGCCTTGGGAGAAGTTCACGCTGAAAAACAGCACAGAAACAACTAAGAGGTAAACCAAGTTAAACAAAACTTTCTAATATGCCCTTACTAAGACTGAAACATGGAGCACGTAGATGTC